TGAGCCCCAAACTTATTTTATTCATTTTTGTTTTATTTAACAGGGTTTCTATATATCATTTGGATTGTGAAAACCTCTAAGCAGTTTATGTAAAATATGCATTAAAACTACTGATTTTGATGTAAAGAGCAGGTCTGTCTAAAAACCTTTAGGAACTCTTGGAGAATTTCTCCTCCTGTGAAGAATTTCATTGAAATGGTTCTCCACTCCAGCTCAATTTCTCTGCCCACAAATAGGGTGCAGAATATTAGGTCTGTTTACACATTATGCTGAACGCAGGTACGATCTGTCTCTACACATGCATGAAATGATTGTATAGCTCAGTTCTTTGTGAAGAGGTTGCAAGGAATCACAAGCTGGGACATCGCTGTTGCACTCAGTTCCTGCTTGCAGGTTTCCCAGAGGCATCTCTGACTCATGAGATACATGATGGTGGACCATAAGGTCTTTTGGCTGATCCAGCACCCAGGCTGGTCTTATTCTTATGGGACTTGTTACAGTCTTCTTGACACATGTGGCAACATGAGCCTGGAGGTCAAGCTACCTATATGTATGTATATATATATGTATATATATATGTATATATATAGGTAAAGGTACTCCTGCCCGTACGGGCCAGTCGTGTCCGACTCTAGGGTTGCGTGCTCATCTCGCTCTAGAGGCCGTGAGCCGGCGCCGTCCGAAGACACTTCCGGGTCATGTGGCCAGCGTGACAAAGCTGCAGCTGGCGAGCCAGCACCAGCGCAGCACACGGAAATGCCGTTTACCTTCCCGCTATAAAGCGGTACCTATTTATCTACTTGCACTTAGGGGTGCTTTCGAACTGCTAGGTGGGCAGGAGCTGGGACCGAACGATGGGAGCTCACCCCGCCGCAGGGATTCGAACCGCCGACCATATAATCAGCAAGTCCTAGGCACTGAGGTTTTACCCACAGCGCCACCCGCATCCCCATATATATATATATATATATATATATATATATATATATATATATAAAACAAGAGAAGGAAGATGCGGTCATTGGGCACCATTGTATGAAAATCCATAAGTGAGAGGAGAATTCAACAATGTGCAGGTTCCAGATGTTCAGATGTGCACATTGGTCTGGGTGGATTGGATCCAGAACAGCTCACCAGATTCCTTCCTCCCCCATAATTGCAGACTGCAGATTCCAGATTATTTATGCATTTTCTGGGGGGAGGGTGTGCTGTTTTGAACTTAAAGGTAAAGGTAAAGGGACCCCTGACCATTAGGTCCAGTCGCAGATGACTCTGGGGTTGTGGCGCTCATCTCGCTTTATTGAGCGAGGGAACCGGCGTACAGCTTCTGGATCATGTGGCCAGCATGACTAAGCTGCTTCTGGCAAACCAGAGCAGCGCAAGAAAACACTGTTTACCTTCCCACTGGAGTGGTACCTATTTATCTACTTGCACTTTGATGTGCTTTCGAACTGCTAGGTGGGCAGGAGCAGGGGCCAAGCAACGGGAGCTCACCCCGTCGTGGGGATTCGAACCGCTGACCTTCTGATCAGCAAGTCCTAGGCTCTGTGGTTTAACCCACAGTGCCACCCGTGTCCATTTTGGACAAATTCCCTGGGTGACCTCAACATTTACTGCTATGAGACAGGGAGGTGGGGTATTGTCAGTGCTATTTTTCTTTTCTTTTCCCCCTTTTTTTTAAAAAAAGGGTTTTATACACAAGAATAATGCTATACAAATAAGTATACCAAGTTTTCTCATGTCCTTTCTATATGACAAAATTAGCATAATAAATGTGGAAAAATATCTACAACATGTTTCATTGTTAGTGGTCAATGTATAAATTGTTGGTTCATGAAGAAGAAGAAGAAGAAGAAGAAGAAGAAGAAGAAGAAGAAGAAGAAGAAGAAGAAGAAGAAGGCGACGAAATAATGGGGGGGAAGAGGGACAAAAATGGTGCTGGAGCTCACCATAAACTTCTCCCTTGTTCTCTTAGAATAGCAATGGCACTTTCCTGAGAAGTGCCGGAGTTGAGCTCTAGTGAGCTCCAGCTAAAAAAAAAGCCCTGAGTATTGTCTAAACACACACTGTGTTTCCTCTCCACCCCCCAAATTCAATGTAGAGAGATTCTGAAAACATCTGGATGTTGCAATCAGAACACATTATCTGAATGCATTTATTATTCCCCTGCCCCTTATGGGGTGGAGGAGGGAACCAACCCTTGTTTAGATAATGCATTTCCTTCTGTATGCAGCTCTCCCTTTTTTCCCTCCCTGCTCCCTTTTTAGTTCCAGATTAGCAAAGTAAAGCAGTTCGAAGTGCCGGAGTCTTTAGCAGAGGAATATTACAGAGAATAAAAATCTGGGCAAAAGGAAATTATTCTGGTGCGAAGAGAAATAATTTACTCTTCTCAACTAGAAGTGGGTGGCAGGGAGAGAGAATGATATTTGTGATTAAAAAGATGCACAGATATTTGCCTTCATGCAGAGGCGCCAACTTGCATAGAAGATTGGAGGGAGCGGGAGGGTGATGATGCAGGCTTGACATTGGGATGTTGGGAGGAGCCAGGGGGCATAGCTGAACATGGCAGCAGCGCGGTTTCAGTGGCCGGCAGGTCCTCATCTCTTGTTCATGGCCTCTTGCTGCAGCTGCCACTGGTTGGGAGCTGCTCATAGCTGTCAACTTACAGATTTGAAAATAAGGGACCAGCAACCTTGAAAATAAGGGACCAGCAGCCAAAATAAGGGACCTGCAGCCTCACCTGTTCCAGGCACTCCAGTCTTCCTGTCCTCCTGCAGTCTGGTCAAACTCAGGCTGGGTAGCTTCGAGAACACTGTCCAACCAACTTTGTAACCAGAGGTTCAACTGAATAGAATCTGAATCACATGCACCACAAGGCCTATGCAGTCTCAACTTAAGATGGCTCCCCTGCCTGGCTTTGCACTGCAAAGTTTGCAGCAGCACGTGCAACAAAATGGCGTCCAGCATTCAAAACCCCCCTCAGCTTGCATTAACTAGCCACACACAAGGCATGCAAGCTCCACCCCCCAGTCGTTCTTAGACTTCTTATTAGGTGAGCAACACAGCGAAGCAACACAGTTGGAGCCTCCCTCCTCCCTGGCCGGCAGGGAGGGAGGGAGAGGAGCTGCTTCCTTTGAAATTTAAGGGACATCATTTAAGGGACATTTAAGAGACATCCATCAATAAGGGACAGCAGCGGGACATGGCGCTGGAATAAGGGACTGTCCCTTCAAATAAGGGACACTTGACAGCTATGGAGCTGCTTCCCCTGTCTTCCCCTTACATGGCTGGAGGAGAAAGATCAACCAGTCACTGAAGCTGCCCCAAGCTGCACCGTGCCTGGCTCCATGATTGGCCACCTCCTCCTGCCTCTGCCACTGGCCAGGGACTGCTTCTCTGCTCCTTACGCTCCATGGCAGGAGGAGGAACAGCCGGTCACTGAAGCCAAGCCATGCTCAGTTCCATGCCGGTCTCCTTTGCCCCATGACTGGTCTGTAATAAATATTCAATAAACATACAAGACATAACGGGCTGTACGTTTGAAAAAATAATATATACTATTCATTGTATTAAATTGCAGATTTCAACAGAAGTAGCTCATAAAGTTCAACAAAAAAAGTAGAAGACCCAGTGGGTCAGTGCATTCTCTAATCAGTTTATGCATAAGGTCCATATATGTGAAAGTGTCTATAGCAGTTACTACTATGCTATAAGATCCACTGTCCTGTGATATCATATATGAGATTGTATTACTGATGAAGCCCAAGATGGTAAAACAAGGCTAATATTCCAGAAATCCTTCTCTTAGACTATGTGAAAGGATTCTGTGGAACTGTAACAACCTTTCATGTGGATTGTTGGACTCTATGAACAGACAGGTGGAATAGACACTTTTTTCGTTGTATGTTTATTGAATATGTTTCATGTAACCAGAGGTTTGTTATTGTTTTGCCCATGACTGGTCTGAGCATTGGAGGAGCCTACCACCCAAAAAATAATTATTGGGGGTCCCAGAACAGCTGGCCCCCATGAATAGGTGCCTATGCTTTCTTGTGTGCAACATGGTAAAAGTAGGGAACTGGTGTCCCTCCAGATATTGTTGGACTACAACTCCCATCACCCCTGACTGCTGACCAGGCTGGCTGTGGCTGATGGGAGTTGGAGTCCCTTCTAACTCTACAATTCTATGAGGCTGTGATTCTAAGGCAAACGTGGCCCACCAGCCAGTTATTGTAGTCTGTCAGCATGTAAACCTCATGCTTAAGGCAGATGGTTAACACCAGTGGTTGTCCTATCAGGATGCTCACAATTGCTGCTTCTGTGCAGCGACCAGAGTTTCCGGTATCCCCCAGCTCAATGGTCAATCCATGTGTCTGCATAGTGGGATGTGCATATTCTGTGATTCTATAGGGAGAATAAAATTCACAGGTGTGTGTGTGTGTGTGTGTGTGTGTGTGTGTGTGTACGGGAAGGTGCTGTTGTCAAAAGAACAGGGGTAGTCCGATTTCACCGTCAGTAATTTGAAATGTTGGCAAGTGCATCCATATGGGAATTAATGGGTCATGCCCTACAGGCTGCAAGAGATCCATCAGCATATATTTTTCATCTGGTTTAAATAATTTGCAAACTGCAGTCTTAGATGATTCAGGTCTCTGACCCTTAATGTCAAGTCAAAGTCAAAAGAAAAAAGCTGAATCAGGAACACTGGCTTAGTTGCTTTCAAATATTTAAGTTATCAGAAGACACACACACACACACACACACACACACACACACACACACAGAGCATACCAGGTGAGGCTGAAGAGTTTGAGTATCATTGAACAACCTATGAACTCCTGCTGTCTCTCTCTACCCCTGACTCAAGAGCTGATGACCTTTCATCGCTTTTAATATAGTTTGTTGTTTGGTTCAGATGGACATAGAATCATAGAATTGTAGAGTTGGAGGTGACCACAAGGATCATCCAATCCGACCCCCCTGCAATGCAGCAATCTTTTTGCCCAGTATGAGGCTCGAACCCACAACCTTGAGATTAAGAGTCATGCCCTTACAGACTGAGCTATCCTGGTCCATTCAAATCAGTGATAGTGTGGATGATGATTTATTAGGCTTGTTAGCTACCCCAAAGTCTACAAGCACCTTACAACACATTTTAAAACACTAACATAAATACATTATACCATCTCTCTTGCACAAACAACATTCCCCCCCCCCCCAACAGAAACAGGAAGCTTGGGCAGTCCACGGACAGCAAAACAACATGCTGTATTTTTCCATGTATAAGACTATATTTCCCCCCAAATTTTTAAAGTTTAAAATTGGGGGTCATCTTATACATGGAATGTTTAAAATATTTATTTCTTAATTTTGGGCTCAAAAAATAGGGGTTGTCTTATACATGTGGGTGTCTTATAGACGGAAAAAATACGGTAATTTCAGTCTATCAAAAGCCTAGGGAAAAGTCAAGTCATTGGTGCCAAAAATATGTTGGTGAAGGTGTCAGACAGATCTCAAGGGGGAGAGAGTTCTACAGATGGTGAGCCACAAATACAAAGACCATCTCCTTTGTCATCACATGTGAGCCTCCCTCAAAGGGCAGACCTGGAGAAGGACCTCAGAAGATTGGAGGGGCCAGGTAGGTTCATTTTGAGAGAGGTGATCCAGAAGATATTGGCGTCCTGAGCCTTAAAGGTTAAAACTCAGATAGGGTTGCCATACCTCCTGAATTTCCTGGACATAGCAGGCAATTGGACGTCTAAAACAGTGCCTGGGTGGAAATCGCTGAACATCGGGGGAAATCCGGACATATGGCAACCCGTGTCGGCCATGTCATTTTTGTAGATTTCCCTTAAAAATAGCTCAAAAACTTCAAAAAAAACTTTGATATTTTGCACCCCACCCCCCAACTAAACAAGATTTCTGTCGGGATTTTCACTTTTTGAAACATGGCAATCCTAGCAGGAGCATTCAGGGAGCCAGAGTGGTGTAACCAGTGCTTTTTTCCTTAAAAAAATGTTTAGGGGTACTCTCATTTTCCTACTTATATTGAAATACTGCCCCTCAATGAGACCAAACTTTAAATTCACAAAACGTTTAGGGGTATGCGTACCCCTGCATCCCCCCCGAAAAAAAAGCACTGGGTGTAACGATTGATCTCTTTTCACAGGCAACTCTGAAACTGTACCTCTGTGAGGGAAATAGGGATGTGCTCACAACTCTCAGCACCGTTAAACTGCAGCTCCCAGAATTCTCTGGGGGAAGCCACAACTGTATTAAAGAGCTTTAACAATGCTTTAAATGTTGTGAATGTGGCCTGACTCTCTGGCCTCTCCCCTTTCCTCTTCCTCTTCCCACCCCCTGCCCCCTTCTGCATGCTTCTTTGCTGCCCACAGTGGCATATATAACTGCTGGGATTGCATTGGAAGATCAGAGCCCAAGCACTGGCACTTCCAAACCATGCCCAGCCTGGCTCTGTTTCTATCTGCCTGGGCCAGTTACTCTGGGGAGCTGCGTAGGTAAATGTAAAGGACCCCTGACAGTTAAGTCCAGTCACAGATGACTCTGGTGTTGCAGTGCTCATCTCACTTTACAGGCTGAGGGAGCCGGCATTTGTCTGCAGACAGTTTTTCTGGGTCATGTGGCCAGCATGACTAAGCCGCTTCTGGCGCAATGGAACACTGAAACCAGAGCAGTGCACAGAAACACCGTTTACCTTCCCGCCGGAGTGGTACCTATTTATCTACTTGCTAGCCCCTGTTAAATGTGCAGAAACACAGGTCCATTGCACATGCTTATTTGCCTGTTGCTGCGCAGAGGCATTGCATTGCCGTATGCATAGAAAAGCCCACACGGTCTTAGTGTGAAAAGATGCTAGCCTGGGAAACGGGGATGAGCTAACAGGAGATGGTTCAATTTGGGAAGGAGGTTAAAATAGCACAGTTACCCAAGTGATGGTGATGACTATCACAGCAAGAGTGCCTAACTGTATACAAGAGTACAGGTCCCTGCCCTGAAGATCTTCCAATCTGAAATTCCACACAGGAAACAATACAGGAAAGGGAGGGGAATGGAAGCAAGGGGAAACAGGGTGGCAAACTTCTTCACATACTTGCATAGCTATTCTAACAGGAGGCAATGATGGCTGCCAACCTAGATGCCTTCAAAAAAGGACTAGGCAATGTTAGGAGCACAGTGGGGTGCTGCACTCAAATCTGCTTGCAGACTTCTCAGAGGCAGACTTGTGAAGGTGTTATTGTGACTGCAGTTCTCACCTAGGGCATTATGCTGGACCCTCTGCCAGCTTCACTCACAAACAGCTTGCCAAGTCTCCTGGGCATGGGTGAGAGGGGAAGGGCTGTAGGTTAGAGATAGCACACATACTTTGCATCCCCAAAACCACAGGTTCAGTTTATGGCATCATCAGTTAAAACAATCTCTGCTAGCATGGTTGGGTAGGCTTTCTCTACCTGAGACTCTGGAGAATTGTTGTCTGCCAGTCACTGTACACAACAGTGGCCTTTGATGGACCAGTGGCTCAACTCAGTGTTCGACCGCTTAGTCTTTTCTCCAGCACAGATGTACAGCTAATCACAAATGTTGGTGAGAGATTCTTTCTGACACATCTATCAACTTATCCCTTGCCCTGGAGGGGAAGTAATTCCACCTCTGGACCCCATTATGCTGTCAAGAATTGTATGCTGAGCTTCAGGGAAGTGCAGCAAGAGATTTTTGTGTGTGTACTGCGGAGAATTCACTTATGCTAAATTCATTTACTGAGATAATGAAACTAGACTCTGTGCCCAATTTTACTACCAAGGGAAGCCGGCACAATAGCCAATGTGGATAATCTATTCTATATAGCAGCCCACATTCCCTTTACTAGCATCATAATAGAAGCAGTGGATCTGCAGAATGTAGGGAGGATATTGTATATTTAATATGGCTTCTTGAAAACCAAGGTGAGAAAGGAGAGGGGAGAATACAGGTATTCTGTATTTCATAATGCAGTTCAAAGGGGATTGGCTTTTTGGAAAATGCACACACATCCCCTGAGTTTGAACACAAGATGAGGCTTAAAATTCAGCTTCTGAGCTGGATTCATATCAAGTAAAAATGCATAAGCCCATTGCAGCTCTTCCCAAAATAAATATATCTCAAACAACAAAGAACGGATAATCACAGCAATTGTGTGTGTGGGCTGTTTGCTACCTTGTCACTTTGCGTGTAAGTAACTATCCCAGCAGAGGGTAAATAGTAATTTTGGGTTTCTTACTTAGCCATGATTAGGAAGTATTCTATTCTCTCTTTTTTATTGTTTTAAAAAGGGATGCTAAGAGTATGCACATGCAGAAGCATCAGAGCTCTCGTTCTGTGGCTTACAAAACACCCCCAAACCAATCTATCCTAAAGGATGGATGAAAGAACCTGGTAGCATATATGATAGGCATACTGCATTTCTCTAACTATCCATTGGCAATTCATGAAACTGTGGGCATAATACACCAAGATGTTCCCCTGTGCATACACCACTGAAATAAATAGGAGTGACATGTTTCCTGGTGAAGTCACATAAGTCATCACAGCAACCAGTGTGGTGAGTGGACAGAGCGTTGCATTGTTTGTAGGTATTGTCCTCCTTCAGAGGTGTGGTATGATAGATGCAAGATCATGAGAAAAGCCTGCTGGATCAGACCAACAGCCTCTAATCCAGCATTCTGTTCTCACAGTGGCTGACCAGATGCCTGTGGGGAACTTTGAAGCAGGAGCAGAACTCAAGAGCACTTTCCCTGTGGTCTCCAGCGACTAGTATGCAGAAGCACTGCTGCTCAGCCATTGTACACGCTTGGCTTTATAGCTGTTGGTGTTGTAATAGCTAGATGAATGGGGAGACACAGGCTCAAATCCCTGCACAGCTCATTGGGTGGTATTGGGCCATTAAGTCTATTTCAGCCTAACCTGCCTTAGAGGACTATTGTGGAGATAAAAATGAGAAAACCCTAAAATTACTACCCTTAACTTTTTGGAGAATGTTCCTTGGAAGGTGTCTATATACAAATGCACGTGCTTTATTAATCAAGTTGTTATTGTTATATTTATATCTCCCCCCCTTTCCTTCAAAGAGCTCAAGATGGCATACAGGGTTCTCCTTCTCTGCATTTTACCATCACAACAACCCTGAGAGGTAGGTTAAGCAGTGACCCACACTGCTTCTGCCACGGCTGTGATTTTTGTCCTGATCCACTGTGATGTCTTTGATGTCCATCAAGGGAAAGTGATGGCTCAAGCAAGATGGAGAGCAACAGACTTGGAGATAAGGTAAGACAAGGCAAAGTCAGGACCATGGACAGGGATCAAGGGGCTGGTTCAGTACCATGGCCAGCAGTCTTACAACTCAGGCAGAAAAAGCAAGTTGGCTTAGCAGTGTCTTGGAGCCATTGTTAGAGCTTAAGCATCTGTGCTAGGATAGGGAGGAAACTGCTTGTCATTGGCTCTTGAGTCTCCTCCTTCTTGTGACCTCTGCCTCCTTCCCTACTAGTTCAAATGAGCACCAGTCACTACTACTTGCAAGGGTCTTATTCCACAGCCATTGGCTTCCTCTAGGCAACACATTTTTCAAGATGTAGGGACATTTTTGGAGGAATTTTCTGGGGTGGGGGTGACTTTCCTGATTCTCTGAGAAGTCTGAAACTGAGTCATTGAGTCTGGGGACAGATGCATCTTCTCTGCTTGTAGAGAATGAGATGCAGACTCTGGTGTTGGCATGGGAACGCTTGGGGAGCAGATACTGTTAAGGAAGACTCTGCACCTGTTCCAGGGCCATGACCATCTCTTAAGACTCTTCCACTGCAATGTTTTCATCTATAAATCAGATATACATTTAGCCTAGTGGGTCATCAGCCCTTTTCGTTCTTGCTTTGCATTCCAGCTGGGCTGTGAAAAGTTATTCTGTATTTACTGCAGCTGCTCTACTGAGACAGCAGAAGACTTGAGTGGGTGAGTGTCAGAATCACCACCTCTTGCTACCACCACTCAATTAATCCTGCAACATATTGTGGAGTGCAGAAACACAC